TATATATATATATATATATCATAAGGCAAAAAAAGTCCAAGGACCTCAGGATCGAAAATAAACTGCCATATGGGCAGTTTGCCACATTTTTTCCACTCAAAATAGATTTTCCTTAGTTTCTTTACGCGTTGCTCGACGATACAATCGACGGCTTTGAGATAATAACATCGTACAAATTAGGTGATAAAAATACCCAGTGCAGCAGCCGTAAGAGTAACTTTTACATTGATATGGTCATCGAGCTCTAGTTATTATAATAGAGAATAAGTCCGGTTAGCTGCTAAGCTTGACTTACCTTTTGGAAAATGTATGGGAGGTCTCTGTACACCGTCTTGGCCAACTAGAATTACCGTGCCACCCGCTTCGCTGTCCTGGTGGCAGTGGACGTACACCACCTCGTCTAGCCGGACTTGAAGGGCGTAATCCCAGTATATACTGTCACAAAACAGACGTTTTAATGTTTATCTGCTCCCACTATAGTATTTAGACTATTAATACATTGTTTTTAAGGGGGTAAGTGAGGTAACGTACCTCCCTAGGGAAAAAAGAGATTTCGAGTTATAAATGCATATTTTATGAACAAATAAATAGAAATATTTGATGAACATTACATTTTATTAGTTATTATGAATGAATATTTATAGTAATTGTACAGTTATTACATTTAGTAACATTTATAAAATCTGGATAATTATTCCGCTCGCGTTTACTAATTGTAACAGTAACGTTGCCGATGTTCTTCGGAATGAATGGCCTGTATATGTTTCAGGATGTGACTTTAAAATTCTTGACTTCTCCATGAAATATGCTAGCAGTGACATTTCAGAAACACCAATATTTTTGTTTTGCCACCATTTTTTGAAATATCTATGTGATCGACCGTAGCACACTTTCGACTTCTCGGTCATTAAAAAATCGCAGGCAGCATTTGCTGCGCTTTCAATATGAAAATCACCGATTTAGAAAAAATAATAATTCAAAATTGCCACTTTTATGTAGCTTAGAAACGACAAAATCCAAACAACCAAGGTGACTTTGCAAGATTTCGAATAATGTCAAAATGAATTGATTAAGAAATGTCAAAAAATAAAACCTAATCTTTATTTCATGAACCGTAAAGAACTGTGGGAGTAGATAAAATGTTATACACCACTCAGCAGTTAAGTATTATTTATCTCCTTTATGATGTAAATTAGTTTGCGATTTACCATTGACTGGGTGTTATAAGTACATGATTTAAATTGCCGAGATTAAACCAGAAAGAGCTTTCATGTAAAGTGATCTGATGTTACCGAAAGTGGGTAGGTCAGGTAAATCGAAAACGCCCGTTAGTTTTAACCTTATAATATCAGCGGTACTCAAACATACACATAACAGTGAACTGTTATAAAACAATGACGTTTATAAGACTCCTGGTCAAAATTCATAACAAGGATGGTTGTAACGCATGTACCAAAATGAGCAGCCTACCTTTTGTCTTGGGATTCTTCGATAAAGCCATTCATTAGTTGATTCGGCGTCCATTTGATGGTTAAACCGTGTGCAGTTTGATGAAGACTCAAGTACCTGAGTTAAAATATTATTTTGTATCATAAAGTATTACTTTTACAATAAAGCCTTCTTACCCCGGCATGGGTTCTGAGACTTCCGCGTTCACCGGCAAAACCAACACGTTGTTTTTTCCGAACAGTAAAGTGGCCCTGGAGTTCTGATGAAGGCTTTCCACATAATCTTTGGCGATGTGTTGTGTCGAGGATCTGCTAGACATCGTGTCTTCAGAGCTGGTGTTGAGGGAACGCCTGAAGTTGAGGATGGGTCTACGCACGGAGGGCGGGGTAGAGTGGCCGCTTGATATCCTGTGCCTTTGCACCTTAAAAAAAAAATGCAAACCAAATGTATTAGATAGACATAAAAAAATCTATAATTTTTTATATTCATTGCCGTTCAATTCATAGACTCTATCCGACGTTTCGGTTACTTACCAGCTCATCAGCGGGCGGGTCCGTCCAAAAGTGATCGTGACTTTTCGTCCTGGAATAGTCCAAAGCGCAGGGTCCCACCAATAAGGAACTCAAGATGCTCCCGTAGTCCGGATCTGCCACTAGAGCGTCTTTGTCGTAGTATTTCCCTGCATTGGAGACCAGGTAGTCGATGATTTTGGCGAGTTGCTTTTCAAACAGAGCAAGCCTGAATAATTACAGGAAATAATGTTGAATTAAACTCATTTTGGTGGCTCACAAATATTGAAAACACCCGTGAAAGATTTTAATCTTTTAAAAGATGCCCCGCGTTAACGCCGTATTGGCGCGCAATAGAGAGAGACGCCATTTTGTTGGCATATTATCGGTAATGCAGAAAAATGCCATATCGTTGGCGTTCAATGTAAAGAATGAAGAGACCTACCTTATCCACAGGTACTTTGGCAACGGGGCGCAGTTGGGCAGAGAAGCGTTCTTTTTTAAGGTAGGCTTTGTAAGACTGTCGCTGCTACTCGAAGACCTTCGGTTGGGGTCTACGTTCTCTAATTCTTGTACTTTCTTGGATATATTTGCCGCCTCTGAGCTGTGTTTGGCAATTTTATGCAACAATGCTGTGGTGGATGAGGTCTTGAACAGGCCTAGAGCTCGTCTTCTAAGCCCTACAGAAAAAGAAATAAAAATGGTAGAGTTTTACAATTGTTTACTTCGCTGCCATGGCAATCGATCATGGGGCACAGTGATATTTGCCTATATAGTGGTAATATAACACCCCTGTTCCCACACAAACCGTTTGTTTCACAGAATTTCGGTGATAGCATATTATCATAACATTTAAGCATACAATACACTAAAAAATATGTGGAATACCTTGGGATAAACAGGCTTCGACCGCGGCACAGAGTGACGTCACAGAACCGCTTTCCTCGTGCACGAATTTGCGTGTAACGGATTCTTCCATTACTTGCTTTACCTCCTTTTTCACGGCTGCTATGAGCTTCTCTTTGTAGTCTTTTTCTAAAAGTATATCAGTAGATTGTCAATATGTGAACCCCAAATATCGGTATACTTTGAAATATACGACAAAAATTAAATAATGTGTTCGTTACTCGACCACTGAACATCAAAGAAATTAGTGTTCGGTGGGACATAACCTAAGAAAACGCGATAGTCAGCATGGGATTAGCGAAAAATATATACTCCATAAACGTGAATTGGGAAAGTGAAAAGGGAACTAATATTTAGCAAAAAATTCATTGGAGTAACAAATATTTTTTGAAATAATGTCCAGTCAGGTTCTATGTTTGCTGTTCAACCGTATTTTTTTTAACGCAGGAAATAAATGACATAAAAAACTTAACCCGACCTAACCTAAGTTACAGACTGACAAAAATTCGACCTAAAGTTAGGTTAGATTACTTTAAGTCTGTTTTTATATGTTAAATAAATAAAATATTAACCTTATCTAAACACCTTAATATAGATGCACCTATTTAGACCCCAAAGTTAGATTAGTCTAGGTCGTTCATATTTATTTAATCACCTAATCACGTGAACGCCTTGTATGATTAAACCTAATAGGAACATAATCGCTGCGTACTTCTTGAAGAGAAACTATAAGCAACAGCAAATTTTGATCAAATCGGTTGACTGGGTTAAGGAGAAAACAAGAAATAAAAAAAATAAACTTATAACACCCTGTAACTTTTTTGCGACATATTTCGTTTAAGCAAGTTTGGTGACACCCTGTATAAAAAAAACTTCATGTAGAAATCTATCAAAGTATCCTGGAGATATCACAGGTTAATTATACCGGTTTTAAGAGTTTGGGTTATGATCCATAAAAAAGGGAAATTGTAGTTTATATATGCTGTAGCAGTCCAAATTAGTTGCTTTTAATTATATTTATATTATTTTTTTCATATCGTGCGTCTCGCAAAGAACAAGGTAGTAACCTTATTTCAGACACATCAAACAAAAATCATTCGTTATTTCCCTTAAGATATTAGAGCTGTAATTACATGTCTATCAACAGATGCATAGATGGTGCTGTCAGGGGGTGCTAACTCATATAAAATTTTAATTAATATGTCAACAATAGATGGCAGGGTTTAAGGATAAGTCTGGCAATATTGCTGGAAATAATTTTTGCTTTCATGGACATCGACAAAGTTAGGAATCGATAAAGCAATCAATTTTAAGAAAAAAGTCTCATATGAACATTTTTTGTTAAGTCAATATTTTCTGAGTTGTTGTTGATTGAAACTGTACATTTTTTATTAAAAAAAAATAGGTTTTTCAGTAGTTTTTCTCGAATAACTCGGAAAATAGACATTCTATGAGAAAAAAATATATCACGAAGAAAATGAAGCTGGTTGAAGATAATTTCATGTCCGCCAGAAACTAAATTGGAAGAAATTAACGTAAAATAACTAGGAAGAATTCTATTTTCAAGAAAAATGCACGGAACGTTTTTTAAAGTACTTTAAAAAATCTTTAAAATGAACTTGACTTTAAGTCATTAGAATAAAAATTAACAGAGTTATGATCAAAATAAAACTGTTACTTCGCTTTTTCGGAAAAGAAATCAGTACAAAAACTGATTAATTTTTCATATTTAAAATCAAAGGCAATCCTTCTACAATTTACATTTTTTATGTGCTAACAATATATTATACAAGTTTAAGGTTTAGAATGCATATTTTTGAAAATAACTTTAAAAATAAAAAAAATACGAAAAATATTCAAGAGTAGAAAAGTTTATATCTTTTTTCGCAGAATATTTTGTTTTTTTTTTTTATTTGTGTAGGATAAAAAGAGATGTCGCCGTTAGAAGTTTACAGTTGAGGGCGAATATCATGTTTTTCAAAACGTTTCAATTTTACAGTACTTTTAGCCGATGAAATTTTTCGTAAAATCGTTTTTGGATCGTCTTAATAGCTTTAAAATTAAAAAAGTTATCGTTGAAATACCAACGGTACCTTACCGCTTCAATTTTCGGAGCATATCAATATTTTTGTTATTCTTCAACATTGGAGCATTCGTAGATATAAGTAGGTACGTAATAAAATAATACGTATATTTGAAAACTTGAAATTATGACTTTCTGTATGAAAAAANTACTACCAAATCATTTCAAACTGTTAAAAACTAATTTTTTTAAATATTTTGTTATTAGGGGTAGTTTTTCAAGGGTTGAAATATTGTAAATTATCTATAATACCATAAACTATTAAAAAGATGTCTATCTACACGTTCGGAAAGTACCGATGGTCTATCTGAAGTTACGTGAGAGCGAGTAAGCCATAGAAATCCATGCGATAGAGAAGGATGGCTATAATGAAGGCGTCTCATAGTCACCGCCCGTTTCGCCCTTCCACAAATAAGATCCACTTCTTATTTGTGGAAGGTGGAAGTCTCACGTAACGGCAGATGGACCATCGATACTTTCCGAACCTGTATAATGTATGCACTATAAAAATATTTTGAGGTCAAAGAAACTATTAATTTTATATTTTTATCATTAAGGGTAGTTTTTAATGGTTAAAACTTTATAAAAATAACGTAAATTAATATAAATACACAATATAAAAACAATATTTATTATATATATTATGATATGATTTTAGTCTATGCCACACCTATTTTTATATTTATTCTAAAAATAAGAAGAGCATATCAAGCATATACAGGGTGTGGCGTGTATAATCTATAACAATTAAACTACAGCTTCCTAACGATATTTGTAATAGAAAAGTTTTATGCGAAAAACTTCTATTTTTGCGTTTTTTTTTTCGTAAATTAAAGTTCAATTATGGATCAAAATATTTTGTCTGGAACGGTCCTGTTCGTGTACTGTACAATGCTGTAGATGCACGTAAACAAATCATCGTTGGAAGATAGAAAGATACTTCTCAATTTTTGGAGAATTTTTCAATGCAAAAATCGGCACGCTATTCTTATTTTTTACTTCTTTACAAAAATTACGCTGTCATTATCGTGGAATTACAAAATAAAAACTTTTGTCTGCAATCTTTCACATTTTAACACTGATGGGTCGATGGACGGTCGATGCTTAATATTTAATAATTAAGTGAATAATGAATCCAGTACAAATATAAAATCAGTTGACTGCACAAATTGTTTGACAATGTAACCTAACCTTCTTTTAGTATTACTAGTATTATATTATACCGACTTAAATTATAAGGTTGCATATCGGGTCGCATAAAAACATTTCCAAAGTTTTTAATAAATAGCACAGGGTCGGCCTTCATTTTCGTTGAACAAATAAACTTTAATTTACAAAAAAAAAACGAAAATAGAACTTTTTCGTATAAGACTTTTCTATCACAAATATCATCAGGAAGCTGTAGTTTAATTTTGTAGATTATACACGCCACACCCTGTATAACTTTTCATCTACAGGGTGAAATATGTTTCTCTTCGTTCGCTGGAGTAATACGTAAAGCAAAAAGTGAATTCAAACGATTTTGACGATAACATTGATTTACTTAAGCAAAAAATTCAGAAAGCTGTTGCCACCATAAACGAAGAAATTATCTCGTCTGTATCCAAAGGAAGATAGATAGATAGATAGATATATTTATTAGTCCAACTAGAGCATTACAGCTTTGCTATGGGATAAGTCAACTCTACATAATACAATACAATTGCATGTTAAAAAAAAGGCATATAGGCCGATCCACATTATTTACAGTACAAACAATAGATAAGTAAAACAAAAATACAATATAAACATATGATAATATACAACCTACAACAGATTAAACTTAAAATAAGCTAACAGCTATTGTCAAAAAATTCCTGAACGGAGTATGCACAAATTTTTAATAAATATATTTTAACATTTTTTCTAAATAGATGAAAGTTATTTATATTTTTCAAATGTTGAGGTAAATGGTTAAATAACCTCAGTCCCAAAACATTGTAAGCTTTTAAAGTCATGCCGAGGCGTTTGAAGGGGACACAAAAATTATGTTTGTTACGAGTATCATGACAGTGGACAGATACATTGGTAGTAAAACGTTCTTTATTTTTATAAATATATAACAATATTTCGAGGATATACAAACTTTTCAACGGGAGAATACCAAATTCAGTGAATAAAGGGCGGCATGACTGGTTCGGGGGTACTCCAGCTATACATCTGATAATATACGTTTCTGGGCAATGAAAACGCTATCTGCCCTACATGAACTTCCCCAAATAATAATTCCATATGCTAACCTTGATTGAACTTGTGCAAAATAAAAGGAAATTAACTGAGGTATTCCTAAAACATCCTTCAAAATTCTAGTTTGATAACACATTGAATTTAATATACTGGTAAGTTTATCACAGTGACTCCCAAATGTCAAAGTTTCATCTAAAATGATGCCTAAAGACGAAACAGTATTACTTTTCTCGATACTGATATTATTAAACTTTATATTTAGGGAGGATGATATCCGACTTTGAGGTGTATGAAACATTTACATAGTTTGTTTTAGCACTATTAAAGAAGAAAAAATATTCACTAAACCATCTACATAAATCGGAAATACCTGCGTTTATGTTATTTTGAAGAGATATTTCACATTCATTTGAAAATAGGAGCGAGGTATCGTCAGCATATTGTGAAAGAGATGCACCAGGAATTATTTTTGGCAATTCGTTAATATAAATAATAAACAGTATAGGCCCTAGAACAGAACCTTGAGGGACACCGATATCATTACNTTTTTGTTAGTACATCCCTGTTTAGCGCAATAAAATTTCACTGAATACAATCCTGACTTTGTATACCAAAAGTGGGGAATTTACGTCATTCAAGGTCCCTGAAAACAGACATCAGTGATCAAAGGTGCGACAACGAGATATAATTCTGGTTGTTTTATTTTCTGTGGTATTACTAGTATTAGATTATACCGACTTAAATTATAAGGTTGCATCTCGGGTCGCATAAAAACATTTCCAAAGTTTTTAATAAATAACACAGGGTCGGCCTTCATTTTCGTTGAACAAATAAACTTTAATTTACAAAAAAAAAAACGCGAAAATAGAACTTATTCGTATAAGTTTCTATTACAAATATCATCAGGAAGCTGTAGATTAATTTTTGTAGATTATACACGCCACACCCTGTATAACTTTTCATCTACAGGGCGAAATAATATTTTTCTCTTCGTTCGCTGGACTAATATGTAAAGCAAAAAGTGAATTCAAACGATTTTGACGATAACATTGATTTACTTAAGCAAAAAATTCAGGAAGCTGTTGCCACCATAAACGAAGAAATGATCTCGTCTATATCCAAAGGAATTTAGAAAAAAATTAGAAAAATGTGTATTACTTGGAGGTATACAAGTTGAATAGGACTTGCTTCGTTGTTGCAGTTAATTCCAGTTCTAATTTGTTACTTCTATTTTTTATTAGAAAAGCTATTTTTATTTCAGTAAATTTAAAATAAAGGTTTACTTGTTTTTTACAATTTCTGCCTGCTTTAAGTATTATAGTGCGGCATCTTTTTATTTGCAAAATGTGATAATTCTTCTTTTCTGACTAAACCCCGTGTTTAAGCATTTCTTGTGATTTTGAACAACAAATTTTGAGATTTTCAGATATTACTTATTTGATTATTACATATTACGTATTACATATTTGATTACTGCCCATGACATCCCAAGATAAGCAAAACTTTTTACCAAGCATAACTTTTCCTCGAAATAACAACAAAAAAAAAGTTTACAAGAGTGCGGTTCCTCATCTGGGGACACACCGCATACATTGCGACATTTGCAAAATTTGGTCCTAGAAAATCAACAGTTGGTTCCATCACAACAAGAAAATTTTACAGGAAAATATAATCGAAAAGAGGCCTGGAGGTGCTTGTTTAAAAGTATCTCTCAAGCCTGTCCTGTTTATAAACAAAACATGCACTTTCAGTAACATAATTTAGGTTCCGAAACCCGCCCAACCGTTTTAAATTATGGTAATTATATTCCAAGAAAATCGTAGGGTACAGGAACAAAATACAAGTAATAATAAGGCGGAGCATACCAGTAAGGCGTTATACAGAGCAAAAACGGAGTGGTCGCCACACTGGCACTCTCTTCCGTGGACAAACATTCAAATAATACCAATAACGATCAACTCACCATTGGCCGACATCGTTCCCTGCGAAATACACCTCGCCGGGACAAAACACTAACGACAGGCCGACGTGATAACGGCGCGGAAGCGCGAGATCGATAACGCGACCACCGGCCGCCTTTGGAATAACACCGTGAATCAATTAAAACCGACTGGATCTTGCGGTAGACGGCCAGCCGCGTCCATTACGATGTGTGTGTTTTTTTTCTCGTCCGCGAAACCGTCTACCTTGAAACAGAATCGATCGCCGGGCGAGGCGCGCGCGCGGAATAGGAATTTATTTATCGCGTCTAGCCTGGATTCGCACGCCGCTGACTGTGTGACGGGGCGGTGGAGGTTTTTCTGGACGCGATCAGCGACACCTATCGGAAACGGAGTGGTATCGCAGTGGAAAAGTATACAAGTCGCTGCACTTTCGTTAAAATTTTATCTGTGGTTTCGAATGCGGCGACATCTGTTGGAGTATAGCGAAGCCACTAATCGAAATAAAATTACGGCGACATTGCCAACAATTTATAAATAAAACTGTAATTGCGATTAGTTCTGCAAGTTTGTTGTACACTTGATGATAATCACAATTTATTAACTTTGAAATAGGATTCATATGGTATCTCCCCTGCTCTATTATCTCTGCTAAATCTTATTTTAGTGACAGATACCAGTTTGGCAGTTTGACAGCATCGTGGCTTTCAATCATGTAAATTCCGTAAAATTTCATGGTACCGCAAGGGTTAAACAATTTATTTTCAAATTGCACTGCCCAGGGAATACGCTTCATAATATTGTTTGCATCATCGAATACGCCTGTCGCGTCGCCTGAGGTAAACGCCTCATGAATCGTCATCCAAAATTTTCAATGTTTTCCATATTTCTACATAAATAAGAAAAATTTGGAGTTGTTGAAGGGCGCAGCGGATAAATCGACGACAATTCAAACAGCTCCGGTCATAATAGAATGACAGAGGAAGTTAAAAACGCTGAGGACATTCTTAAAGGCTTTCAAATGTAAGTTTACGTCTGTTTTTGAGGTTATGTTGTAGTTTCGTTTATCTTTTTGTACGTTGGTGACCTATTTAAACGCAAACGGTAACGCTTCCGGTCAGAGTCGTTATTTTATCGTTATCAATGTCGTAAATAGTAAATAAAACCTATCTAACTCTATTTTGGTTGCAGCAACTGGATCTGTCTGAGGGACGCAGACGGTGGCAAGATCTTCTGGCAGAACTCCGAGGACCTGAGCTATCCAGACGTCGAGCATGAGGCTCGCGTACCTAAGAACATCCTCAAATGTCGTGCAGTATCTCGAGAGTTTAATTTTAGTTCCAAGGAGCAGATTGAGAAGTTCCGTCTGGAGCAGAAGGTTCTCTTTAAGGGACGGTGTCTTGAGGAATGGTACTTTGAATTTGGTTTTGTTATGCCAGAGTCGACAAATACATGGCAATCCATTATGGAGGCCGCGCCGGAGTCGCAAATGATGCCCGCCTCCGTCCTCAAGTAAGCCGTACTTTTTTCTACTCTCTCTCCGCTTCCCCTAAGCCCATTCAAAAATGCATCACCTAAACAACAATTTAAACTACTCTGTTTTTCAATAATTAAATAAACGTTTAATTTATTTCTTCTAATTTAAAATTTTTTGATTTTGTAGCGGCAACATCGTCATCGAGACGAAGTTCTTCGATGACGACCTGCTCATCACGACGTCTAGGGTGCGTCTTTTCTACGAATAACCTCCCGGAGGGGAATTTTAATCCCAACGGCACGGACTGCTAGCCACAAAGCCTAAACAATGTATCTTCCGCTCAACGATCTTGGACTATTCGTAGTTTTTATAAATATTACGTTTTTCCACGATTCGTTCCTTTTCCGTTGGAAAAAATAAGGCGAAAAATAAGTTTAACGTCATCTTAAAGTGACGAAAACAAATAATTTTAAAATGTTAGTGTAGACATTGTTTTTCGTCTTGTGTGGTATTAAAATATTCTAATATTTTTATTCTTACGATGTTAGAGCACAATGAAAAATATTTATTAGCGTGTGACATCACGAATTAAAACTTCAAGAACGAAACACCAAAATTTTTAGGTTATATTTTCACCGATCCGAACTGTTAACACGGCAGACACCATACGGCTTAGTTTTATCATATTCTGTCTTATCAAAAATCCAAAAACGATTGTGCAACCGTACATGGATTTGTAGCAAAAGATTGAACAAATGTGTGGGGATAATAGAACACCCTGTACGTTAAAAAAGGTATTATAAGATTGTCTTTAAGTACAACTTTTGTATTGGGATTAAAATTTATTTTGTTCATATAAAATTGTCGTTACGTCGCAAAGTTCATTTAAAATTATAAAAGTGGCTATCGTAAGGCTGTGGCGCTTGTTTAAAGACAATCTGGACGTGTTAACGAGTGTTTTACTGCATAAATAATGTTTACTGTAGTTGTACATTGTCATATTTTTTTATTTATTTGTTGTATATATCATAATATGAATATAGACGTTTAAATTGTAATGTTTGTTTTAATTTTCCACCCAGAGACCGATTATCGCTGCAATGAACTGGAAACATTGGTTAAAAAGTATTAATAGTTGAGTTGTAACTTAACTCCACTTAAACTCTTGTCTACGCCATTACTGAGCAGTCCCCAAATTTTCTTTATTGCTGTTTTTCAGAGACGAAACCTTTATTTAGAAAATTGTTCGTAGTACAGTCGTTTAAGCTGAAAATCAGCTGTAACCTCCGAATTCTGTATGGATTTGCATGAAAATTTAGAATAAGGCTCATCTTAGGCTCAAGTTCAAAAGTGACATAAGCCCGATTGACGCTCTTTGTTTTTTAGGGGTAAAAACTGCCCCTAAGTGAAAAAAATTAAGTTTTAAGCAATTTATTGATAAAAATCTTGTTCAAGCACAAAGATTAAATAATGTTCCATATTCTCGGACATGTTTTATGATATATTTGATCTTTTCGACCCTTTATTTAACCCTTAAAAACCACCCCTATGCAAAAAATTATGATGAAAAATTACTTTTTAAAGATTTGGAATGATTAAATCGTGCAATTATTTAAAATAAAAGTTACCTTATAGCTAATAAATGAATTTTTCACTTTCAACCCCTAAAAACCACCCCTGTATTGATAAATATGATAAAAAATTACTTTTTAAAAGCTTGGAATGCTTTAACGGTGCAATCATATAAAAATTCCCTCATTGTTATGAAAGAATTTGTATCTCATAACACTTTTCAACCCTTATAAATCGTCCCCGTGCTAAAAAAATGATAAAAAATTACGTTTTAAATCTTGGAATGCTATAATTGTGCAATAATTTAAAATAAAAATTCCCTTATATTGTTTATGAAAGAATATTTTACTTTTTCCATTTTCAACTCTTATAAACTACCCTTTTACCAATATTAATGTAAAATATTTTTATTATAATCGATTTTTAAATATAATCAATCATTTAAAAAAATGCTAAGCTGCATATAAATAATCACACATAAAAATACGCATTATAAACTGGTCTAACTTCGATCGTATGAAAAACACTAAAACAAAACTAATTGTGTACGATTAATTTTAATTCTGATGGAAATGGTACAGCGTTTACTGCTCATTTTTCCTTTAAAAATATGAGCAACCCATCTGTTTTTGACGATAACTCCTTAAATTTTTCTCTACTTAACTTTTATAAGTGCTCATTTTGAAGGTCTTTTTGAGTACTACAAAAAACTCCAGGAGTGTTATACACGTAAAATTAATCCTTTTTCCGTTATTTGACATTGAATACATCAATTCGAGTATTCCCCCCAAAAAAAGTCCCCTTCCACTAACCATAGTTGGCTTTGTATAGGACGTACAACACTTTTTAAAAAACGATTTTCTTTGTTTATTTGTAAGCTATATTTTTGTTCATTACACTTTTTTTTTAATAAAATGCGTAGTTTTTGAGTTATTTGCGAAAAATACTTTAAAAAAGTGTTTTTTTTTTCACTCATAATTCCAAGTTTTCAATTGTGAATAACTAAAAAAACTACTAATTTCTTGAAAAAAGTCTTCGAATATTTTTTGCTCAAAATTTGATTTTTTATCGATTTCCAGCGTTTTTTTTTTAATGTCCACCCCTGAGAAGGGGTGTCAACCCCCAACAGGGTGGAAGCGTCAATCGGCGCTATGTCACTAATGTTCATTGGCCTTTTCTCTAACGATCTGGCAAATTTCAAGTCGATCGGTTCAGTTTCAAAGAATTGGGAGGTGAAAAGCTTCAATGACTGTACTATCGTTAATTACATACATTCTCTATTTGCATAATGTATTATTTGAATTAACGTGAAGTACAAAGAGATCGATTCCTTGAATTCCCAGCGCATCAATTTAGGTAATTACTTCGCACCTAGGTGTAATAAACCTTTCACAATCGAAATATCGATCGCTCCCAAATTTAATCAACTAATATGGACCCCGGCGATTCCGCAAAACTCCGTCCGTACGCCACACGCGGGTAGGCAGCATGAGAAGTAGGTCAAATATCACACATGCGCAAAATAGGGGCGTGGAGGCCGAAAACAAAAAAACAAATGGCTTGTTAGCACTGTGCGACATCGAAGAAAGCCGTTTAATTTCGCGAGTGTTAATAATCGCCGGATTTTTTTCGGCATTATCTACTTCGTCAGGTAATATAACCCTCGGGGAACGTTTCGGGGGTTATTCACTTGTGATTTTGGTGGTTTGCAGTGCGTGCAGCGTAGAAATGGAGCCGCCAGGGATGGAATCGGGCTTGGATTTCCCCAAGAATCCACTGCTTTGTCCAATCTGCCACGATTATTTCACCGAACCTTGCATCCTGAGCTGCTACCACACCTTCTGCGCCCGTTGTCTTCGGGGCAGGGAGCAGGACCGCCGCCTGATATGCCCTTTTTGCAGGTGGGTGCACCTTTTGTTATGTAACGGGCGGAGGGGTGTGTTTTTGTTTGTTGTTCGTTTGAACTCTTTTTTTTTAACGTGCAAGTTAGAAATTCGAGAAGTTGCACTTGATTTTGAATACAGGTAACATAAGAAACTTGGGGGGGAAAAAAGGATTCGCGCATATTTTTCTACATTAAGCAGTTTTGTCATTGATTTGCTTATATTTCATCTTCAGGCATTTCTAAAGCCTCCTACATTTTTTAAATCATAGGTGACTTGGTGCAACTTGTTTTAATATCGAGCTGCTTACTTTAAAAGTTAGATGGCGTTAGGGTTGGCAAAAAATTTAATTTTGGCCAAATTAAAATGATTCGTCTTGTTTAAATGAAATTCCTTATGCTTGTATCTTCATGTAATACAAATCACATCCACGACATTCAAATTGTGACATTTTACCAATTAATCGCCATCTCTTGGTTGCTAAGTAGGAAGTCAAACAATTGTTTTAGTTTTCCAAAGCCTACTATTTGATATTTCTAAATTTTTGAATTATGTTTACGAATATTTTATTTTTTCAATTGTTTCTCTTCTAATATGATAAAACTATGTCATATTATACAGGGTTCTTCAGGTAAGTGGCCTATTAAACGTTTCAGTGAAGCGAAAGATAATTCTGCTGTAAAATATTGTTCACGGTGTTACCATTTATGCTCTCTTCAATGAAAATAATGACTTCCAGTTATACGGGATTTTAAATGGAATACCCTATATATTATTGCATTATCAACAAGATAGATAAAAAATAAGTCAAAAATGCTATAACTTCCCTGTTCCTAAATCTAATCGTTTTCGAGATAATCGACATTTTATAAAAATTTTGACAGATGCAAGCTTTTCGAAAACTCCTTATATCTTTCTTCGTACTGGACGCTTTCACTTGCTTTTTGAAACACACGCAGAACATAAGATGCACTACCTTCCATTATTAAAATTACCAGAAGAATATTATACCAAGTGAATAATTTTTTACGTTACATTTTGAAAACTTAAGACCTACAAAACTTTTTAAATTCAAACATACAACACATTGTATTTTTTTGTACGATATAGAAAATCAAATTCTCTTTTCACCGATACAGGCATTGTAAGCGTTACATTTTAAATTTTCTCAGATAATTTCAGCTTTCTTCCCTTTTCAAGAATATTACATATAAAATATCATCAAATTGTTTTTTTTCTTTTCAAATAATTTTGAAACCCCTTATAAGATTTTATTGAAATTTGGTACACCGATACTTCCATATAGGTGTCACTTTGTGTCGCCAGTAAACGAAGTAATTGGATTAACAAAATAGTTAAAAATTCTTTGAACATATTTATCGCATAGTACTTTTCCGCAGGCAACCAACCATGCTGAAAGACGGCTCGGCGCTGCCGCCTCCCGACACGCTCATGAGACAGCTGATCGACATCGCCAACAGCGAAAACCCGCCGTGTTCCAATTGCGATAAACGTGACAGGGCCAACATGTACTACTGCAACACCTGCGGTACTGACCAAACTTTCTTTCTTTCGTTGTTCAAGTTTTTGGTTCCCTAGGTTGGTGTCTATTTTGTTTCTTTTTATTTATTTATTTCACCCTTAAATTTCTTAAACTCCGTCATTTCGCTTCGTGTGTGACTTAGGAATGTACGATTCCAGGTCAAGCGTTGTGTTCAAACTGCCGGGACAACACCCACCGGGCCAAAATGTTCTCCAGCCACGAAGTTGTTCACATGACGAAATGCAACAAGGAACCCAAACGGGTGAGTATTTTCTCCTAAGAACAGCAACGAAATACTTAAAAATTAATATATTGGTCCTTCGAGCCGGATATTTTGGTCCTTCGAACCGGATATACATTTTCCTAAAATCTTTTGGTGAATTTACATGATTTACTAGTTTTCGCTCGTCTTGTACCAATTAACAACAGTGTGATTAAACGTAGTGCCCGCAACATGGCGAGCACTACATAATGTACTCGCCCCTGCAAAACGCCATGCTGTGCGTCAACTGCTTCCGCGACTTACCCAGCGACATGAGGGGCCAGTGCGTGGACATCGACACCGCCCACGCCCAGGCCGCCAAACGTTTGGAGAGGGGGCAGAACGCTATAATGGATCTCCAGGTGAGAAACGTACAAGACTGTGTTCGTTTTTGCAAATCTTTTTCCTTCGTAGACTTCCGTCAGGGACGGCATAATAGCCTTGAAAGGTCTGATGGACGAGTTGCGCAGGAACATGGACAGCGAGAAGCACACGATAAACACGTTCTGCCAAGGCATGCAGGAGGCTATGGCCAAAACGCACGCCACCATGATAATGGAGGTGCAGCGCCAGTTCGAGAGCAAGGAACGCGTTTATCGCAGCCAGTTGCTGCTGCTAGGTAAGTATTTCGTTAGTAGTAAGTATTAGGTGTCCAGTTCACTGTCCAGATTTCGGTAGTATTGATTTAAAAGAAATAAAAGCAATAGAAGTTGAAAAACTAAGTAAATTTCATCCTTAGGTACCGTAATGCCCGTCTTGCAACTGCACCTGGTGCTGTGTACTACGTTCACGGCTGCCGCGAACAAGTACCAGTTCTTGGAGCTCTGCCCGTCCCTGATCGAGCGGTTGTCGGCCGTCGGCAACCTAAGTCAACCCGTCAGGTAAAGAATCGACATAATTTATGGGGACGTTTGGATTTTTACACAGTTTTATTACAGGTCCCTGCAGTCGTCTCAGATAAAAACGAACTACCGCAGCGAGTTCGCTCAGTGTCTGGAACCGTGGATCGGCCCGGCCGCCGTCAGCCAGCATCAGTCGGAATTGGCAGCAGGTACTGTGATCTTTGGTTCTTTTTATCTAACGCTGCTTAAAATTACGTATTTTGGACTTGACTCGATGTAAGAAGCTTACTGCTAAATCAGAAGTGGGATATAATGTTTACTTGGAAGGGGACACGTAGAATATGATTGGGACACTCCAGGCATTTGTCGAAACTAAAAATTTTAACCCATTCTGTGGTATTATCAGCTTCTAGGTTGTACGAAACGGCCCCGCCCACCACCAAGAAGCAGCAGAACGCCATGAAGAGCAAGGTGTTGGAGGGCGAGAACTCGTTCTCGTCTCACTGTCGCTCGTTCGAGTCCCAGATCCGCGAGCTCAACCAGCAGTTCAACCTGGTGAAGGAGAAAGTCAGCGAGCTCCACAAAGACATCATGGCGCTGAGGAAGGCGCAGATTCCGCCGCTGTCGGCACGCTACGACATGCTCACCAGGGAGTGTCTGCACCTGGATCAGAACCTCGAGAGGTATGGACATTTTTCCGTTATCCCGCTTCTGATTTCAGATCAGAAGCGGGATAAAACGCCTGTTAATGTTTTTTCGATATTGTCGCGTTTAGGCAGCAGCAGGACTTGGACAGGATGGCGACGGTCTTTGACGTCTCCTGGGAGGAGCAGCTGTGGCGTCTCAGGGTCGAACAGGAGGTGTTCAGCTGTCAAAGGGCCGACGTTAACACGCTACGGAACGAACTGAAGCATCTCAGCCAAGTAAGGGATAAACGTTTGTTCGTTTCGTCTAAAAGCGACCTAAAAATTAGTAAACCGAAGTATTATTTGTTTAAATAAAACGCGTCAGGTTTTGTTTAAGGTGGCGTCGCAGCTAGAGCCGTACATCAGGAGTCTGACACCGGCGCAACAGAGCCAGAGCAGCCAGAGCGAGCAGGGGCAGAGCCAGAGCGAACAGGCGCAGCACTTGGCATCTCTCCTGGAGCATATAGGTAGGTGACGTACATTCTTTTGAAAATTGCAGGCGGTAGTGGGGAATTTGTTGCCGTGGCCCACTAATTCGCCTGATTTAGATGCAATTAATTTGATTGTAAGTGAATCTTAAATAGTTGTATAAGCGAGGCACCCAACTGTTTAATTGTCTTCTTTTTCAATAATGAAGTGCGAATTTGTTGATTAAAGTTATATTTCAAGTAATTTAACAAATTTGCCATTTAACGATTGTATTTAACTTGCTCTAATGAACTTTTCAATGTTTCTAGTGTTTTCTTTATTGCAAATTAACTAAAACAAAAAACCGAGGTCTTATAAATAATTTTCTTGACACATAACCTGGCAAACTATATATTGAAACAAATATTAACTACAGGACTATCCGTACTCCAACGGGGGCACTTCCGGATTGCCGTACAGATCCTTAGCTTTACAGCTATTCTCCACGATCTTGCTAAAGTCCATGTCTTCCTTTTCTTCAACCTCGAGGTACTCCGCCTTCCTTTCTTCCGTCTTTTCGGTAATCTCCTTTCTGTCGTTCGCTCTAAGAAAGACTTTATGTTTTGTTGGTTTGTAGTTCACGCGCGGCATCTTCAAAACCAAATGACCCGTGGTCTGCGATCGTTGCGCCGTGCTCCTCTCGACGTGTACCTCTTCCGGAAGGACCATTTGAAAGATCTTCCCTGAAAAGGAAACGGTACATTTCCACAGTTAGAAAACAGTGGTTCGTTACCTTTCACGGTCAACTTGACGTAAATCGGCTGTAGGTCGACTTCGATCAGGTTCGTGTCGAGGAATTTGTAAATCACGACGTCCAGGACGAACTGCTCGGGGTCGTCGTCGCTGAAAGTGAAATTGAGCTTCGCCTGGTTCACGTTCAATGGTCGTCCGTCCTTGTTGAATAGCGACAGTCTCTTTTTCGGTTTCTCTTCTTTGTTATCGGTACCCCCCTTGGCTTTGCTGGACCGACGAGCGATTTCCACCCTCGTTTCGGGGCAGTTTTCGCTGGTGGACTTCCAGAACTCGTCGTCGGATAAGTTTACTGTAGATTTTTGCGAAACGCGCCGTTTTTGTTCCTCCCTTTGTAGCCTGCGACAAAGGAGACGATTGAGGAGTAGTTCAAACGAACCAAGCAATTTTGTTACTATTTCGATGGTCCTTTGTGATAAACGGGAACAAAGCAGTAATAAAAACTATTTTTTGTGTTACCTGTACTCTTCTTGACACCGTTTGACCTTTCGTTCCGCTTCGTCGAACGTTTGTTTCGCTTTTATCCTGTCGCTTATCTTGATCTCCTTCAGGTCTAAGTTCTGCAGCTGCGGGAGCTGGGCTATGACGTAGTCCCTGTAACCTTCGAAATCGCAGCAAGGATTGCCTAGGAAAAATTTTAATAAAACCTGTAAAGTACAAAAAAAAATAGCTCCTACCTGTCAAATAAAGGTCCTTCAGATGAACGTTGTTCTTCAACGAAGCTACGCTCTCCAAATCCCCTATAAAGTTCAAGGTTAGGTCCAGTTTTTCCAACGACTCACACCTCTCCAAGTTCTCGATGGTCTCGATGTTGTTCACAGCCAAGTTGAGGTACTGGAGCTTCTTCAGCTTGTTCAGGTTCTCGATTCTGGAGATGAGATTAGCCTGGAGGTAGAGGATCTGCAGGTCCTTGCACCAGTTGTTGAGGTGTTCGATTTTCTCTACGTCCTCCTGGTGTAGGGAAAGCTCCTCCAAGGTGCCGATTATTCCTATCGGAGATTTTTATTAATACGAGATGCTGCGGCTGCAGTTTGCCTACGTTCCCCGTAAATTAAAAGCATGTCTACAAGCTCATTGCTTAAAAAACGCACGGAATAGAAACCCAGACTGACAACAATGCTGTTTGATTGATATCTTTGTTGTTTTACGGCTTTTTATATAAAAATGTCTCGACTTTGGAGAATTGGATATTTTCCTTTACTTTGTAATGTTACGAAACAGATTTTTTAAGGAACTTTCAACCTAAACAAGCCTTTGACAATTTTTAAAGAAATGGTTCCGAGAAGAGTTGGTTGCAACATTTGAGACAAAGAAAAAAATTCTTCTAGTCTATAAATACCTTCATTGTGTTCTGATCTCTTCCTGACCAGTTCTTCCGTGATTCTGACCATATTAGTTGCGATTCTTGTGCTTTTTTTAATATATTCATGTAACAGGCTTCAAAAAGCATCTGATATTGACATAACAAGTCATGCTGTTTCCGTGGTTACCATTCTGCCTTTTATCTGTGAATTTAATGTTAATGGCATATTATTGGCCTTAGAAAATTAGCAGCAGTAACTATTGGAATAATTTAAAGACGAATAAAACAAAATTGTTTAAATATATAAAGCTGGAAAGTCTGTACAGAACACTCTGTAATAATGACCGTTTCATAAAAGAATAGTTGACTAACATGAATATTAAACTTCACCACCTCGTGCAATTTCAAGACAATTGTTTTCCAGTTTTTAAATAAATAAAATAAATTGAGATATAGCTTACAAAGTACGTTGTATCGTATGTCATTGTTACTCGACGCCTACTGGCACAAAGCAGTACTTTGTACCTACTCGCAAATGACCTACTCATCTGTAGGCACTTTGAAAGTATTACTATCGTCGCATGCTGTAGGAACCGATTTCTCTGTCGACTAGCATTGCATTATACCCGCAATATCTAGTAAACGGTTACGATCGCTTGTCAGTAAAATTACGAGGCATGGACTTATTAATTCTTGTCGGTATTCCATACAACCAACGGATGATCTGGCTGTTTGGATGTCTATAAACCACATTGTTTAAGTGTGGATGAGACATAACCTGCAAAAAGTGTTATATCTCAACTGTCACTGCTATTCAGTGCCTACTGTCCCAAAGCAGTGCTTTGCACCTACTACACCTTTAGTAGGCAATGAATAAAGGTGACGACTAACCATTTTGTAGTTTATATCTCACCCATCTCCAAAACGTGACGACTCACCATTTTGTAGATCTCACCCATCTCCAAAAAATGTCAGTAGATCAACTCGCTTATGGCTTACTGATAAGATTTCGGGGCCAGTTTATGTCCGGTGAGTCTGTCAGTAGGTACAAAGCGATGCTTTCTGCTAGTAGGCATTGAGCTGCAGTGACACTTTGTAGGTTACATCTTGCCTACAGTTGCCTTAATACTCTAAATTCGCAGATTTTGTAAATTTCTAGACACAGAGCAAACATATTCTTGCGATAACCATTATTTTTATATCGATATAAACGTACCGTTGGTCTTTACTTACCTTTACGGCTTAGGGATCCTGCAGCAGTCCGACGCCGCCCTGGGCAAGATCCCCCGATCCCGCAGCAGGGTTCTGGGTCAGTTATTGGAAAAGGTCCGTCCCAACATCCAGGAGAGGGAACGCAGCAAGTCGGCGGGGCAGACGGACAAGCCATTGTCGACGCCACAGAAACCCACTGTCAAAAAACCGTTCATGACAAGGTAGGGTGCTGTTTCACGTTTTAGTGCTGTCAAAATTCATCTCATCGTGTTATAAAAAATTGTAATTGTTTGGCGCAAAAGTCAAACGAGTCCCCCGTTTGGTAGTTGACCAGTGAAATCTGATAGGGTCGTTTCCCATTTCGTATTTACGTTCATGCATTTGTAATTTTTTGATTTCCAATCGTTTCGTGGAATAAAACACCATGTTGACGTAAGTTGTACGTTTGAACTACTTTCAAGCAACGGTAAAGACAAACACAATAATTTCATCCTTTTAACATTTCATTGCATTTAGAATCGTTGTAAACGCTTAAGCGATCAACCGCTACGGGTGACCGTTGTCGCCCCTGCTACCATTCTCATCTTTTAATGTTACTTTGAGGAATTGCAACGAAACGTTCTTGTTTGTTGATTATTTCACGTTCGTATAACGTTTCACTTATGGGAACGACCCCGTTGCAGGTTACTGGTCAAAATCAAAATTTATCTGAACGTGATCCGTGGGTAGCGTCCCGTACGCCTTCCGTTCCGCCGTGTGATTAAAACCGACTTTTTCGGGGGCAGCCAGCAGATGAACATCGACAAGCTGGAGGCGCACATCAAGGAGAAGCTGCACGACATCATGAACAGGCGCCAGAGTCAGCCGTCCTCCAAGTCCGACACCGAGACGGAGCGGAAGTTGCTGAAGGACGACAGGAAGCTAAGCAAGACCGACCTGGAGTCTATCGGTAAGGAAGAACGTCGATTTTCGTTATTTTTTTTTTGTGAGAACAAGGCGTGTTTGCAGCCAAACTCGGATCGAAGCAGCGCATAATGTACAAGAAGATCGGGAAGAGCTGCGACAAGATAAACGCCTCCAGCAAGTCGGACAGCGAGGTGAAGAAGTGCAAGTCCGAGTCGGAGTACCAGAGGATCTCCGACGCGACCAGCCAGAACATCAAGGCGTTGGTGCACGAGACCAGGTCGAGCCCCAGCAGCCCCAAGGGCAAGAACAAATGCAAGCCGCCCGCGAAACAGCCGAAGAAGAAGGTACGTCGCTGTCTCGTCCCCCTTCTCCGAAATGCACATCCCGTTTTCAGGTCTACCCCTACAGCGACGGCGAGGACAACGTCTTCTACTCCATGCACGACTCGGCCGACTCGCTGAGCACCTCCAGCCGCCGCTCGAGTCTCGAGGGCAACGACAAGACCCTGGTGGTGGTGATCAACCGCCGCAACAAGAACATGTCGCTGGCCCAGAAGCAGCGCAGCTGGGAGACCTTCCCGCCGAAGAGGCGGCACCACATGTGCCACAAGATGTCCGCCCCGACGCCGCCCATGCCACCGCTGCGGAAGGCCGACAGTTTCGAGGGTGAGCCGTTGTTTGTTTGTTTGTTTTTTTCGATTTCTGATTTGTGATTCTGTACCTTCCCCCTCAGGTCACGAGGAGGCGGTGAAGAGCCTGGTGGCCGCCGTGCAGGAGACCAGGCGGAAGCCAAAGGGGGGCAATTAACCGATAGGGAACGCGGAGCGGTCTTACGAATATACGGGAATCTTCATGTATGCCACTTTCAACTGACGCAAATGAGCGAAGAAGTTTTATATCGTAAGATTAAATTAAAAACTCTTGAGTGGGTCGGGCGGAATGCACATAACAGATTGTATGCAAAGTATGATACGTTTGAACTACTATTGGAGTGGTTGTGCACGTTTGAACTACTGTTCTCAAAGTTGTATACGTTTGAACTACTATTCTTAGAGCTGTGTATGTTTCAACTACTAAACTCAAAGTAGTGTATGTTTGAACAACTTTTCTAGTAGTTGTGAACTTTTGAACTACTATCGAGTTTGTATGTTTGAATTACAGTTCTTGGAGTAATTGTGTTTGAACTACAGTTCTTGGAGTAGTTGTGAAAGTTTGAACTACTATTCTCAAAGTAGTATACGTTTGAACTACTAGTCTCAGAGTTAAATATGTTTGAACTATTGTTGGAATAGTTGTGTACGTTTGAACTACTACTCTGGAAGTAGTTGTGAAAGTTTGATCTATTCTTGAAGTACGTTCGGACTATTCTCAGAGTAGTTGTGTATGTTTGAACTACAGTACTTGGAGTAATTGTGTTTGAACTACTGGTCTTGGAGTAGTTGTGAATGGTAGAACTACTATTCTCGAAGTATACTGTCCTTGGAGTAGTTGTGTATGTTCGAACTACAGCTGTTTTTGAGTGCGTTGCTGAAATTCAAACCAACTGGGGCTGTATTATGTGATTCCAAAGGCTGAGGTTTTCCATCTCTCACTACTCCCAAAACAGCAAAGGATACAAATTCGTTAAAATGGAAGCCCTAAACCTAAAAACAATAAGTTTAAACTTCGACATATATTTGAACTACTGTTCTTGGACTAGTTGTGTACATTTGAACTACTTTTCTCGGAGTAGTTGTCTCTGGACTACTATTCTCAGTGTAGTTGTGTACGTTTGAACTCCTGTTCTTGGAGTAATTGTGTGTTTGAACTACAGCTGTTTTTGAGTAAATTGCTGAAATTTAAACCAACTTGGGTACACCATTATGCGTTATTATGTGATTCCAAAGGCTGTATGGGAGGTTTTCCATCTTTCTCAGTACTCTCAAAACAGAAACTGGGACAAATTTATTAAAATTGAATCTAGACTTAAAAACGTTTAAATTTTGATTTGTTTGAACAATTGTTCTTGGAATGGTTGTGTATATTTGAACTACTACTTTTATCTGGAGGTTTAACCATTTGTACAATGCAGTGGAATCTACGTATATAGCAGCTTCTTGGCAGAAAAAAAATGTTGGTCAAATAAAAATTTACTGTTTTGACATTTTTGCTCGACTGATGTTTAAACGGTTGTTTGATTATAGTTTTGGAAGAGTGAAAACTGTTTCTTTTTTTAGTGTACTGGGAGGGAAAGAGAGAGAACCCCCCAAAGACAATCTTTTCATTAATCATTCAGTAACGATAGAACTAAAGACCAGCACAATAATCGGTTTAAATTTCGATGTACGTTTGAAATAGTGTTCTTGGTGTTCTTGAAGTGCTTGTGTACGTTTCAACTACTATTCTTGAAATAATTGTGTACTTTTGAACTAGTATTGGAGTAGTCTGTACATTTGAACTACTGTTTTCGGTATAGTTGTGTACATTTGAACTACTGTACTTGGTATAGTTGTGTACATTAGAACTACTGTTGTGTTTGATTAAACCACTGGAATTTAAACATAGTAAAGGGCACTGAGGGCTCTCTTGTTTTCAAAAAAGTGATATGGATTGTGAATTTAGTCAATAAATTAGAATATATGTTTGAACTACTGCCATTTTCGAGAAAATATAAAAATTTGAACCGCTTCGAGTGTACATTTGAACTACTTCTCTGAGTAACCGTACTTTTGACAGTTACTAACTCCAAGTGATGTGTCTCCCGTTCCGCCCGATCCACGCCCACAAACTGTCCTTTCTCGAAAACACTCGTTCGAACAGGGTCCCCCTGTCCCCTAGTTAGTCGCAATGTTCTCCTTCCTTAGATTTAGTCGTATTGTAGCGTTCACATTAAAGCTGTCGTCGATCTTCCACGGGCACGCAGCGTTTTATTTTACGAGGTTTCCACTATTTAGTAATTTGTGTAGATAAGTCGGTCGTTCACTTGGAGCGTCATATATTTGGAATTGAACTTGAAAAAACAGCGTATTGTGATATAGGCCATTCGTTCCCCTTGTTTTTTTTGTTTCCTTCCACTCTTTTCTTTAGCCCCGGGGCGTTATTATTATTTTTTTATCGGTGTTTGTACAGATTTCACCTTTACTTCCGTTAGTAGTAGTTCTCGAGATGTCCTCTTTGAATATCTGTGTATAACCTGTCGTATTATTAAGACCTTGTTTGTTACTGGTATTTTACTGTTGGAAATGATATAAAAATAAAGTATGTAATCAGCGTAACGGTTTTTTATTTCCGCAACTTTATCGATTGAGGGGAAAAATTCTACTGGACTATTTCAATGCTTAAAAATTCGTTTCTAAAGACTGTTTTTGCCCTGGTTGTGAAGTTTTCGATGGCAGCGCAGGTGCTTCGATTCACTCGATCAATGGAACTGAATCTGGGGTGTGAGAAGGCTCCAAGAATGAAACATCGAACGCTGTAAGCGAGAAGGGAGCTTCGGTCTTAAGGTGAGTTTATTATACACTTTTTACATATTGTCTTAAAATTAATATTGTTTTCCTTTTGAGCTTCAATTTTGAGTGTACGTTTGAACTACTTTTTCCTGATTGACAGCTATTCTCCGGTTATTTTTGCTTGTAATTGGCCAAAATTAAAAATATCTATGTAAAATATGATTTGTTGGCAAAAATCTGACAGATTTCGTATATATTAAAAAAAAAATCAAAAAATGTCAGTTTTTGCTCTTTTCATTTTTTAAATGGTGTTCCTTTTGTTTTTAACTTGACGTCCTGATATTTTTGTTAAGAGGGCTCTATAGCAAATAGCCAACCAGCAATACATTTTTGTAGATTTTATTACAGTTTGTCTAAATACGAATTAATGCACAAAGAACGGACTTTCCCCCATTTTAAAGCAAATTTTCTATAAAATGGAGTTAGTTTGAAACTCGGATAACCTTTGGTGTAAAGAAATTTTTAATTTACGATGCCACTTGTTCAAAAGTGGAAAATTACAAATTTCTTCACAACAAAAAGTAATTTTAGTTTTAAATTAACTCCATTTCATAGAAAATCTGCCACATAGTGGAGGAAAGTCTGTTATTTCTGTATTAATTCATATTTAAATAAAATAAAATCTATAATAATGTATTACTAGTTGCCTATTTGCTATAGGGCCCTCTTAATCAAACTTCATCGATATTATTAACTTCCATAATACAGTTTTTTTTTAATTTCTAATTTTTATCGATCAGTTATCAGTTTTTCTAATATAATTTTACATTTTTTAGCATTTTATCACATTTCGAAAAAAAAATTGCTTTGTTTCTCTGCATATAGCCATTAGGAATGCATTACAGTCACCATCTTGGACATCAAAAAAACGCTCCTTAAAAACACTGTCGTTTTTACTTTACTATTACATTCATGTATTTTTTTACATATTTTTTTAAATAAAAGTGCGATTGAAATTAGCATTTATTTCATTTAGAAATAGAATAAATGAAGTAAAATATGACTGAAAGCAAAAAAATTCAGTGCAGACGCGTGGAATTGCAAAAGTTACAGATTTTTGAGAGGGTGCTATCTGTTTTGGACCTAAATAAAATAGTTTGTGAAAAATTAGACCAAAGTATTTTACTGTTATTCGCATTTTAGACCTAGATAAAAATTCTCATTACCCCCCATATGAACACATCAGACCTAGATAATTGATAACATTTCCGAAATATTACATTTAGACCTAGATAATGACAACTTTTATTGATTTTAGACTTAGATATAGTTTTCATGAACACATTAGACCCAGATAATAGATAAAATTTTGCATTTTAGACCTAGATAATGCCAACTTTAATGGATTTTAGACAAAAACTAACAAAATTACTAAATTCTGTCATATGCATAAACGTATTAGACTTCGACTTAGATAATAGATAATTTAAAAAAATACATTTTAGATGTAGATATTGCCAGCTTTAATGAATTTTAGACAAGATTTTCATTCTTTTCCAATTTGATTTTTGAAAAGAACACAGATCTAGATAAAAATGCTAAATTTTGCATTTTAGACCTAGATCGTTTTCATATACCCTCCACATGAACACTTTAGACCTACATAATAGATAAAATTTTAAAAATTTTGCATTTTGGACCAACTTTAATGGATTTTGGACTGATAACATTTACATACATCCATGTATTAATTATTAGACCTAGATAATAGATACATGAACAAATTAAATATAAATATTTTTTTAAAATTGCTATCGGGACCTAGATGATGCAAACTTTTACGGATTTCAGATAAATAATAAATTCACTAAATTCTGCTTTTTCGATGTAAATAGATAAAATTTTGCATTTTAGACCTAGATAATGCCAACTTTAATGGACTTTAGATAGACAAAAACTAAAAACCATTACTAAATTCTGCTTTTTAGACCTAGATAAAATTTTGATATACTCGCATACATGGATGTATTAAATGTACTTAGATAATAGATATTTTTAAAAAACGCATTTTAGATTTAGATATTGTCAGCTTTAATGGATTTTTAGACAAAATTTTCATTCTTCTCCCATTTGATCTTTGTATAAAAGAACATAGATCTAGATAAAAATACTAAATTTTGCATTTTAGACCTAGATCAATATTTCATATACCCTCTACTACATGAACACATTAGACCTAGATATTAGATAAAAATTTTTAAAATTTTGCATTTTTGACCAATTTTAATGGATTTTGGACAGATAATAATTTTTACATCCATGTATTCATATTTCAGATAAATAAAAACTAAAAAAAAATAATAGTTTTTTTAATCAATTTTTACACTTGCCAATTATAAATAATGCTATTTTATACGATTTCACTTCAATGTCTTATACTGATTGTAGAGGCAAATAAAAGCTGTTAAAATGGAATTTCATAATAAAATTGACAAACCTGAAAAATTTTGAAGTGAAAATGATACTCGATTTTCTTGAAAATGATTTTAATAAAAAAATTTTCGATGATTTACATACAAAAATTAAACAAAGACTAATAATATATCTCCTATATGATAAAATATACCTTAAATTGTAGACATAACTTTACGTAGAGAAAAGTATTGCAAATACATCACAGATTTCAGAAGAGTTGTAAATTTTAAGAACCTAATCTAAAATAAAAATAAATCACTTGACTACATGTAAGTTGTACCAATTGCACAAAATCGTAGCGATTCTTCACTGTCGATCGCAATTCTTACTAATTCTATAAAATTGAAACGGGCGTTTATTATAAAAACTTCACAAAAACACTTAAAAATCTAAGACAAAATTTCAAAAGAAAGTTACATGAAACGTTTATAGAGTACGAATAAAATATCGAAAGCATATCATTGTTATTTAATAACTTCATTGTTAATATACAGGGGGTTCCGTAAATACTTTACTTTTATCATCTCCAAAAATTTTTTGCGCTTATTTTCCGAACACCCTGTACTGAATCCAAAAAAAAAGTTTGTTAAAATCAATCGAAATAAAGGTAAATAGTTTAATAAAGCATATATTATTTGCTGCAGTGTAAAATACCCAAAATGCATACAATTTTGAATATCCCTCAATTTTCGAAGATGCTGAACACGAATCTGAAGTAATTTTTGTGCGGTCGAAGAAAAAAATTCAATAAAATCAATGGAATCGCCACTATTTACAAGATTGCACAATTTCAGAGCGCCCGTATTTGAGGAACATATTTCAATAAATTTTAATTAAAAAAAAAATGATTTAATATTCCCGCTCTCATTCGTGTGTGATCGTCCCTAATAAGGTTACTAAGTACCGTAAACACATACATAAAACCTGCAGAAAAATTAAATTTGTTTCCAAAATAAAAAATAACATTTACTGTTTTAACTTTTATGTTCATTTTGCCAAAAACTTGTTTTAATATAGAACATATAGTGAATTAATGACGTGTAAAATTATTGGTAGTATAAAATTGTTTGAACAAACTTTTGTTAGGAGGGCTCTATAGCAAATAGCCAACCAGCCATTTCTACAGGTTTTATTACAGAGTTTGTTTAAATATGGATTAAATAACAGTCTTTTCCCCATTTTAACGCAGATTTTCTATAAAATGGAGTTGGTTTGAAACTCAAATAACTTTTTGGTGTAAAGAAATTGGTAATTTACAATGTTCAAAAGCGCAAATTACAAATTTGTTCACAACAAAAAGTAATTTGAGTTCCAAACTATGTCCATTTTATAGGAAATCTGCGTTAGAATGGAGGAAAGTCTGTTATTTGTGCATTAATAACTTCAGATCCGTGTTCGTCGCTCTCGAAAATAGAAGAAAATTTCGCATTTCCGAAAATTTTACGCTACAGCGAACGATTATTAAAAAAGTTTATAAACCTACCTTAAAATCGTAAAATCAGGCCGCCGCCGCCGCCTTCTACGCCTACCATACAAAAATACTTACAAACCTACACAGTCTACGACGCTCTCGATAAAAAAAATTCTCCCAGTCCCGTCACTCGCTCATGTCGAGCCTGGACTTCTTCCTTGACGGCTCGGCCCTACTATTCTCGCACTTCGCCTCGTGCCTGGCCAACTTCTCGACGTTGCCCAGGAACCGGCACCCCATCGTCTCGTACGTACAAGCCAACTGGACGTGCTCCGCCATCTCCTCCAGCGTGAAATTCCTCGACTCGCCGATATCCAGAATGCAGTACGGACACACCGCCATCTTCATCTTGCACGAGCCGCACAGGCTGTGGCCCGTCGGGCAGAGGAAGATGGGCGGCGCGAGGTACTCCTGGCATATCTGGCACTCCCACGACTTGCGTATCTGCTCGTTCCTCGTGAAGTTCGCCTCGAGGTAGGCGCGGTTGCCCCGCTCGATCACCGTTATCAGCAGGATGAAGTCGTCGCAGTTGAGGACCTTGAAGACGGACGAGGTGTTGACGCGGGCGCTGGTCATCTCGGAGACTGGGTTGTTGGCGCCGTTCTGGTACTTGTGGTAGGTGATTCTGCAGGTGCGCAGCAGGCAGTCGGAGCAGTGCTCCCTCGTGTTGAACTTGGTGATTTTCTTGTTGGGGATCGTGATCTTCGACATGTTGCTGTTCGTCGATATCTCCAGCCGGAACTCGTACTTTTTTATGGTGTCCTGGAGGCTGTATATTCCGACCTGCAGCAAACGACGATATATTTTCAACATGAACGCTCTTTGCAATTGGAGATCGGGCATTCCCGATTGTCCATTTCCTATTAGAAAATTACAAAAAAGGGACTCGATTGCTTTAATGGATTCCTCAAAATTTTCCGAATATGCAAACAAATTTCCCGAAAAATAGCTCGAAAGTTTGTTACAAATGTATCCGAATGTTTTTGAAATAGATAGGTTGAAAAGCGAGCTTAACATTTTGTACCAGAAACGAACAATTACGTAATTTAGAAGTTTAAAAAACGGTAGAAATATTATACAAGGAATTTAAAATGGTACTTTCGGAAACATACAAATTGTTTTGCCCAGTTTTAACAATTCCTGCAACAAGTGTCTCGGTAGAAAGAAACTTTATGTGTCTTAAGGAGGTATATTGGGTTTACTCAAATGCACAGATGTACTTGAAATTTATATAGCGTATTACTCAGTGCTCCCTCTGTGCGTCATATATTTTTTTTTAATCAGGATTTTAAGATGTTGTTATTGAAAGTTGTTCATTTTAACTAACATAGGTTTATTTGGCGAAGATGGACGGTGCGGCTCTTTTTTTATCCATAACTGAGGAAAAAATGTAGAAATTGTGAAACTAAACTTTTCCATAGATAGTACACAGTATTATCTTATTTTTGATGTAAAACTAATGTAAGTTGTGAACATAGTACAGCTGTATGAATTAGAAACAGAAACCGATAATTGCATTTCTGTCTGACTTGAGGATTAATTTGACAACGTCGCAATCAGCTGACTGCAAGGAGGGAATACATTTGAAAGACTTGATAAAAACGAAATTGATTTCAAACATACATTTTTCCTAAATCCCATGTACATTGTTATCAACAATAAATTATCCACAACAGGTGATTTTTTGTAATGTTTTTAAAAAACTAGATTAATTAAAAAAGACTAGGAAGCTGTGATATATTTATTGGAATAAAAAATACAGTTGATAAATCTAGTTTTTTAAAAACATTACAAAAA